AGCTCTTTAACATGGGAGTTACAAGAGCATGCTGGGGGATACTGGGACTGCAGGAAGAATAACCTGCCTGTCATTTAGGGATTTTATTAGCCAGTACAGCTGCAGCTATTTATAAGTGAATATTAATAGGAATATTGCCTGAGCTCATTCCCATGAGCTCGTGATTAATTCCTTGACACATTCAGTTCTTAACAAGGACTCTGTGTTCAATAAATGCAAATAGAGATGCTTATTTCATTTTTAAGCTTTACCGAATATTTCCTCGGTGAATATCCATTGTACTTGCTTAAAGTTTGTGCATGTACTGTGGCAGAAATGCAATACTGTTCATTTACAAATGGGATTTTTAAGTGCAGGTCTGCTAACTATTAAAGAGATTTATTTTCTTGATGGGTGGAAATCTTCTGATCTCCTATTCGAAGATGAAATCATTTAGTTACTACCAGCATAAGTTAAAATAAGATTCATATCTTTAAAGGCAGTTTTTCATTATGATGATTGAATTTTTCATATCTTAAAGTGTTACCCCCCAAAATATAAATTATATTTTCAACATATTGCTGATTTGGTAGAACATTGTCCCAACGTTGATCTAAGTTCTTGTTAGGATTGGAGGGTGCTCGCTTTGGCAGCACGTATACTAAAAGTGGAACGATACAGAGAAGAATAGCATGGCCCCTATGCAAGGATTGGAGGGACCTGGTGAAATCTTAGAATGAGAAAGTAGAACATATCTCTACTTCAAATAATAATTTTATTTATAACCGTAGGCAACTTTTCTATTTTCAGGGTACTTTTCATTTCATCATGCTGACAGTAATGTGTACCTACTTCGCAAAAGTGTTGTGGAGATGAATTATTTTGTTTGCCAGGTGCTTTGAAGAGTTCATTCCTTGGAAGAGGATCTGTCAGGTCCTGGAATCTCGCACCAGGGAGGTTGGTGTGCAGCAAGGGAGCTTGCCACTTCGCAAGTCAGTGTGGAAAAATGAAGATGAAACAGTCATTTCCTAATGACTCATCGTTTCCCTTGCCCTTAGTTTTTGAGAAAATGTTTTTGACAGCTAAGTATCACAGGAATATATTAAAAAATTATCACTAGAAAGCATCTCCAGGGCCAAAGCAAGACCAATTTCATTTTCTACCATCCTTGTAAGAACTATACAATAAATTTCTATCTTAAATAGTGGCAATGGCAATGTCTTACCATAAGGAAAGGGTTATATTAATCCACTTTCAAAGTTAGAAACTAGACAAACAACAAAGTATTGACTTGGGTGTAGCTTCAAGTGAAGTTACATTTTTTAAGAAATTAGGCATAAAAAGAATTGCCTAACCTAATTATAAAGTAAAGGTTAAAATATATTGATCAGTTTATTATCTGATGATCATCATTTTTCAGGATTGAAATACACATAGAATTTACTTTCTATTAAAAACAGTTCTCTGTTCTATTGGAATGGCACTGCAGAGGGCTTTATAACAAAGTTAGCAATTGTGCATTCTAACACTGGGCTAAAGAGAGTGCTGTGTTACAGTAGATCAACTAAAGCTTCTGAAACCAAAACCTGTTTATCCATCCTTATGCTGCTAAAGCCTAGACTGCTATGATCAGTCATATATACATGACTTTTGTATATGTATATATATACAAACATATACATGCACACATATTATATATGTATATACATATATTATGATTATATGCACACATGTATACACACATATTATATATGTGTATATACATATATGTGTATATAATATATTACATATTATATAAGTGCATATAAAAGTCATATATATGACTTTTTAGATATAGTCATATATATGACTTTTACGTATGTGTATACACACACGGAAAATAGTGTCACAGTGTTACATTATGTACATGGAGAAACCACGACTCTGAAGTTGAGATGACTATAAGAAGCACTATTGCTAGTTAATAGGTTAACAAATACTCTGTTACATTTATTCTTGCCTTCAAAAAGAATTCAATTATATTCTAACACCTAAAAACAACAAAATATGACAAAACAAGATTGTATTTGTCACATAGATAATGATATTTTTGTGTTGGGGGATGCAAAGGGGCTTTGTCAAACCATTATTTATAGAAAGTCCAATTTGTTTTGTTTATTTTTTAGTAGAAAGGTTCTGTACCTTATTCCAAAAAAAAAAAATTAAATGTAAAGAGAGCTTGTAATATTGGGAGGGTTAGGTAATGCTTTAAAGATATTTAGCTCCCAGTTGAGGACAGAATCAATCTCAAATATTAGGACAACCATGATTTTCCATCTAATTATCTTTTCTTTCTGTTGAACCTTTCTATGTGTCTACCAAAGCTATTGTTCTGTATATGTGTTTAGATTTTCTTCTTGCTCTTTAGCAACATAGTAGAATGGGAAGTTTTAACTTTCTCAGAAGGAGTTTTTCTTTCCATTTTTTTTCCTTTGACAGGGTTAGAACATAAGGCAAATGAGGGCCCAACATGATGTCTTCATGAGCAGTCCTCTGCCTGGCGAGCACCTGGAGACTTAATGGTGCCAGTTCATGTCCTGGTTGTTCCATGTCCCTTCTAGCTACAGAGGAAAGTGGAGAGTGGCCCAAAGCTTTGGGAAGAAGCTCCTTCTAATTATTTTAGTTCTTTGGGTCAGTGTAAATTTGACTTTCCAAGAAAAACAAAATAATTCAAAGAACAAAGAAAAAGTAAGGAAAATGCCAACAAGGTGAATAAGGTGGGAGGAAAAGAATTAAGACACCCTGAAAGGATGTGGAGCTGTCATATTGCTTCTTACTGAATTAGGTGCTGAATATTCCAATGAAAGTGGCTGCTGCTCACATGTATGAAATTATAATCATTCCACTAACTACCTTGTATTGCTTTAATACTGACAGCACTTTGAAACTATGTACTATGTTATCACAAAAATATTTCCTTAAGATAAAAAATGTAAGAGCTACAATTTTATCCTAAGTCTTTCTGATTTTTGACGTTTTGATAGACAGCTGAGATACATTTTGATTGGGGTTAATTAAAGCAAATTAATTAAAAAGAAATGCTACCAATTCTGAAAATGAAGATATATGACAAGGAACACGAATGTTAACTACGCATTCGCTGATCTTAATTAGCACATTTCTATGTGTCATTAAAAGAAAATAAAAATAATGGTAGACATTTGAAAATTGATGAGCTGTTGTCTGAATTTTTCCTTAGTTATCATTTCTAAAGATCCTTTAAGGTACTTTGAAATATAAATATAAACCTACCAAGCTGTAACAAATGTATAGTTGTAACAATACTTGGTCTTTGATTAAATTGGGCCCCTGGAGTCTCGTTTTTAGCATCTTTTGGTAATACATTGCTCTCTTTCTCTGTGATTGCATGATTTTTGAGTGCTATTGTACCTTTCAATGTTCCCCCATTTTGTGATGAGGTTATATTGCAATTCCACAGGTTTAGTATCTTCATTTGAAGATAAGTAGTTTAATGTCTATCTTAGAGGAGATAAATTCCTACTAATATGTCTGAGAGGTTTTTGTTTCTGTTTCTTATCTTCAGCTACATTTTCCCACCTAAAAAAGGTTTTGAGAATGAGAGGCCGAGAGAAAAACATAAAAGGGAGGTAACTGCCATCTTCTCGTTCAGTCCCCAAGGCCCACAATATCTTCAGCCGGGCCAGGGCTGTGACCCAGGAACAAATTCAGATCTCCCATTAGGGTGGCAGGAACCAGATTACCTACGCAATCACCATTGCTTGTAAGCTGGTGTTGGAGCGAGACCTTGGAATCAAACTGAGGGATTCCAAAATGGGACATGAGTGTCTTAAGTAGTAGGCTAAACTCCTGCTCTCTCTCTCTACATATATATATATATATATATATATATTTATTTATTAATTTTTTTTCTATCTGGCTGTTATTTTTCTAAATAGGAAGGAGCTTATTGTGCTTGAGTTTTTTAAGTCGTTGCTTGATTTCAAAAACTCAATTCTTCATGTATGAACAAACATTTACACACACACACACACACAAACTATAGTATTTACAAAGTTAAATGTGAGCTAAGTATTTGGGTAGTTACCAATGAAAGACCTCAACAAAATAAGGAAGTTGATCCTTTTCTAAGAAGAAGGGGATTTACTGTGCGTGATTTTGTGAGATAGTGCTTGAGCTTCGAAGAAAAGCAACTCTTCTTGGATGTTGATTTTGCAAGCTGTCATACTGTGATTACATACCTGCTCTCCCTAATCTCCAACCAGCATAAACCAGCATACTGCAAACCAGACTTTTAGGTTTACATAATCTCATCGGACCAGTTGTGATTTCATTTACCTGGAGATCCTTGACTCATACAGGTTCCTTCTAAAAACATGAATTAAGTAAATTCTGTTCAAATATTCCTAGTCATTGTGTGGCAAATGTAGGGTTTGTGTCAGGATCCAGAGAAGCAGATAAACAAAAGACATCCTCTCTACTCAAAGGATATTATAAATTCAATCAAGGTTGCATAATAATTACAAAGATGTATAATATACCCAGTAGCATGTACCATATGATAGTTAAGAAAAACTTGGGGAAACTCAAAACCCTAATGTGTTGAAGGAAGTTTTGCCTCCTGGATAGCCTGCCCATCGAACCTAGTTTTGCTGTTGGTTTATACATTTTGTCTCAACTCTATTATTTATAGCACAGTTTGACTCAACAGTGTTCTTCTTAAACAACAAACTGTAAGATCATCTTACTCGCAGAAAGGTATAGAAGGGAAGCTTTTTTAAAGGCAAATTGTGGGCCACGTCTTAAATTAAGTAACAGACATGAATCACCAAGCTGGCATTCTGAAATGTGTCTTCTTTTATCATTTTCTTAAATTTACAGCCATGAATTACTTCAGTCCTGCTGTCTGCTATCATTCTGGAGATTCCTATGAGAAAATAAGGCATATTTTATAAGAAGGGAACAGACTGTTCCATTGAAATATCTGCTCTTCTATTCCAGAGGATGACAGTACAAGTCAAGTATCACTGTGCCAGCATGTGGGGAAGGGAAGTGTGGTGTCATTAGCTCCTGTGTTGTTACAGTTCCTAAAGCAATTGTTTGTCGTGGATTAATTTTAACTTGAATAAATTAAGTAAAAAGTCACATATTCCATTCACTCAAAATAATTGCCTGCTAAATGAAACTTGGCTCATACTTTTCAAAGATAATGTAAAAACGTCTTTAGTGGACATATTTGAATTCTTATCAACACAGATGGAAAGGGGAAGCTTTTAAAGGGATGCTAATATAACATTTCAGCTCATTTTGCAAGAAAGCCATGTTCAGCTTTTTAAAGCAAAATAAAGATGCAGCCCGTGTCAACCAGTGTCAAATCTTGTGACAGAACAAGCTTTGACATGGTTCAATAAATGAAAATATTTTCTTGACATTTTATTTTAAGGGGATATAGGAGAGAGACAAAGACAGAGAGAATCTTTTACCTGCTGTTTCACTTTACAAATGGTTGTAACGGCTGTGCCAATCTGAAGGTAGAACCCTGGAATTGCCACCAGGTCTCCCATGCTGGGGCAAGAGTCTAAGTTCTTGTGCCGTTTCCTGCTGCTTTCCCAGACATGTTAACATGGAGTTGGATGGAAAGTAGAGCAGTCAAGTCTCAAACCATGTGTCCAATATGGGATGCTGGCTTTGTAAGCAATAATTGAAGCTGTAGTGCAAAAACACTGGCACCAACTCAGAAGTTTTATAATAATAAAAAAAATTAGATGTATCTTCTTTCCAGGGAAAGAAACACGTTATAATCTGAGTAAAGCTACACATTACTGGAACTTCAGATTATATGATTTAACAGAGAAAAGCCAAATTATCTCCTAAATCAATGGTATCTATAATGTGAGCCCTTTGAAAACAGCTGCCTTGTCATATTTAATTTTGGAATTTTCATATGTAATACAGGACTTGGTGTATATAGTTATCTAGATACTATTTTTTAATTGCCTTGAGAGGGCTACATATTTTTAATGATAGAAGTGTGTGTGAAAGTGGTGATAAAGTTCTAAAAATAAGTTTCGAGGCACTTTTTTCTGAATATATTTGAATATATGAACTATACTTTTCAGTCCTGTGTTTGCTGGTGGTAGGCATGTGATCACCTAGGCATGTTTAGAACAAGATAGGAAGCACTTTAAGAACAGAGAATGAAGTTTTGTGAAATGTCCCTAATAAACAGCTTTAAATTTTCATATCCATAGATAAACCAAGCCTTAATGTGCTTCAGTGATGCCTGTGAAAATGGGAAGATTGCTCAATACTCACAAATTCTACCTGCCCATCAGTGTTCAAATAAAACAGCCTGGATGCTAAGTATTTACATTATTTCTTTTTCTTCCATTTTTTTGTTATTAATTGCATTGCATTATGTGACACAGTGTTATGGGCACTGGGATTCCTCTCACCCCTCCCCGAACCCTCTCCCCATGGTGGATTTCTCCATTTTGCTGCATTACCACAGTTCAAATTCATTTGAGGTTCTTTCCTTGGAAGTATTTACCAAGCATAAAGTCCAGTGTCTTATCATCCTAGTGGGTTCAACGATTTCCTGGTGAGACCATCGAGACAGCTGAATAGTAATCTATAGCCATTTTGAGGTGTATGGAATCCTGTTGAATATAAACCAAAAATTGAAGTGTCTATGAAGAAGTCACAGGATGTAGTTAAGAACCTGCATTTTCCTATTAACATACTGTTAATCAATACCATGTCAATTAGTGGCATAAGGTTGTAAATGGTTGTTGATGTTATGTTGGGGCTTTTAATTGATTGGGATGATACTTTGCTGGCTTAAGTATTTACATTATTATAGTGTACAGCATGTCTTAGTATCAACGAATTGACTGGGGACGGAAATTCCTGTTGTATTTTCAGTGTTTAAATTGAGAGGCTGTGAATATGAGCAAAGCACCTACCTTCTTTAAACTTGCTTGTGCTTGCAAATGACAGTGAGATTGAGGACTGCGCCAGCATTCTATGTATTTTGCGCAAATTATGTGACTTTAGAAATTTTAGGAATCTGGATACTGAGTGACTGAATTGAAGATAAATATCATGTATTGTACTTTCAGTAACAATTCCTATTCTAAGCTCTAAAAATGATTAGGCTTTATTTTTCATAATGATTCCCTGGTTTTAAAGATTTGCTAATTATACTCCTGGGTCACACAAAAAAAATGAAATCCTAGCTTTTCAAACAAAATAGATGCAACTAGAAACCATTATGCTTAGTAAAATGAGCCAGTCTTAAAAAGCTATTGTATCTTTTTCTCTGATATGGAGCAGCTATTATAGAATACAAAAAAAATGTAAAGGAGTGAAATGGTCAGCTTTTAGTCCATGTTCATACTCCAATGGAACTGTGGCTTTTCCTAGTTTAACTTGTTGAGAACTGTTACTAGTGATATGAATATTATGAAAAAGTGAATTAAAATTATGTCTTGGAAAACTAATGAAGAGAAAGGAAAGGAGAAGTTATATTGAGGAGGAGGGGAGTGGGGAAAGTGTGAGTGCCTTCTTGAAATTGTTAATGTAAAGAAACCTATTTTTCTTTATATTAATCAAACATAAAGAAAAGGACCCAAGAAATGGTTTAAAAAATCAGCTAGGTACAAATAAGACTTAGAGGAAAAATTTGGAGTCTAAAGTATTACAGTGATTGACTTTTCTAGTTTATGAGACAAAGTAAATGATAATGGATTCAGGAGAAAGTCTTTTTTTCTGGGGCAAACCTGCAGGATGAATTATATTATTTGGCAGTGTATCATGAAGAAGTACAGCAAAAAAATTCCAAGTATCCACATCACTCTGAGATCGCAGCACATTATGTAAGTTACTGTTCGCTGTTTGGGGGATAACAGATTGCTCTTAGGAATTTGATCAGACCGATTAATGAGTTTGTTAATTGTGTTTTGCTAGATTTATATGAAATCTCCGTGAACAAACAACCATCGCTGGACCAATCATCGGTTCTTCACTGGACACAGAACCTACTAACACTGCTATCTTGGACTTCTTACCTTCCAGAACTGTGAGAAATAAAAGTATGTTCTTTTCTTTTTAAAGCTATCTCATCTGTGTTATTATGTTATAGCATTTTTGTTTACATTTTGTTATTATGTCATCATTTGATGATGTAGTTCCATAGGCCTTGGGATTTCCCTTACTCCCACTCCAAGTCCCTTTCCTCCCACTGAGTTCCACTATATTATTTCTTGATACACAGTCATATGTCCATCATTGTGGGCATGGACAATGGCAGAGAGTCCAGCATCCTATTGTTAAGATATAGTTGACAGTTTCATTGGGAGTCTATCTTTGTTCTGGAAGTAGAGATGCATACTGCATTGAATCTTCACATCTGGATATGATAGTTTCCATTACACAGTTACTATACATCCCTTTAAATGAAAAGCCACAGTACAAAGTCAACAACAGGAAGAAAAATAGAAATTTGCAATGCCACGAAGTTCTCAAGAGGTTTTGATAGTTCAAAATCCTGAATTGCTGTCCATCCCACCAATCCAATCATGATGAATGTTACAGCATTTTGAAAAGATTAGTGTACCAGGACATGCTTTTCTCATAACGGAGGGTTGCAACATGTGATAGTAGGAGCTATTCCCTAGAATAACATTTGAACCTATGTTTGGACATGATCAACATCACATCCACTCACAAAACACATAATTCAGAGAATATGACATGGTTACAGCCCAATTCAGTGAGAAAAAATCCATATATTCTTCCCACTTTATTCATTGGAAAGCCTCAATCATGACAGTTGGACAGATTTTGTCATACTGTTATGGGTGAGGTCACAAAGCCCAGGTAAATTGCTGAATCTACTACTATCTCCACTGGAAAATATAACTCAGATAGCTACTTCAAATGTTAGGGTTCTTGGACAACTATTTTAAAAAGTGTCTTTGAATTGTTTTACATCTTTATCAAATTATCTTAAATATTGCATTAAATAGACTTTTGAAACACATGTCACCCTCATGCCCTCATGCTTATGGATTGAGCTGAATTGTTCCTTTTGTAAAGATTTCATGAGAAGATCGTTTCACAGAAAGAGATATGTAGTGGAAAAAAAGATTACTATTAAATCTACTTAAAAATTTCTCAAGAAAGAAATGATAGTCTAAGAAGTGAATTTTGTCTGCCCTTCTCACATTTTAGTAAACATGAAAAATTAGCGTACTAATTAGCATAATAGTATTCACTGAAAGGATGTGATTTGCTTTGGGTATTGCTAGCTTCCAACTTGAACATGAATCAGTTCCTTAGGTTAAGGGATTTCCACCTTCCCCTAACCCATCCTTCTCCCATTGTTTTCCCATATATTGTAATAACAGTTTAGTCCCTCAACAACAGTCACAAATCCAACATTCTGCTATGTAAGTGCATCCTAACAATATAGGTATAGAGAACGTTATTGAGTCCAACATTCAAGGTGTATTGAATAGTTTCTGCGGGAGCCCATCTTCTATTTAGAAGTAGATATGTACTGCAGTGTATCTGCACCTCATGATACACTTGCCTCTGTTATACAGATCTTCTGCATAAATATGTGTTTATCCATATATCTATTGAGCTTGTGTTTTGCAGAGAGGTTGCTTTATATTAGAGAGAATGCATGATATTTGTTGTTTTGCGATTGGCCTTATTTCATTGAACACAATGGTGTCTAGTAGAGATCATTTTGTTGAAAGAATTTCGTTCTTTTTAATGACAGTCATATTCCTTGGAGCAGATGAACTTCAGTTTATTTATCCATTCCTCTTTTGACATGCATCTGGGTTGTTTCCATGTTTTCATTATTGTAGATTGTACTGTTGTAAATAGAGGATTACGGATTACTTTCTTATATGCAGATTTCATTTCCATTGGCTATGTTCCCAGAAGTGGCATAGCTGGGTCATATAGCAGAGCAATTTTCAGTGCTCTTAGTGTTCTCCATACTGCCTTCCATAGCCGTTGTGCTAGCCCGTGCTCCCACCAACAGTGAATTATGATACCTCTCTCCCCACATCTAGGCCATCAGGCGTGGTTGCTAGAGTTCTGAATGTAGGCCAGTCTCACTGGAGTTAGGTAGAACCTCAGCATGGTTTTTATTTGTAGTTCCCTGACAGATAGGGAACTTAAGCATTTTTATATGTCCATTAGCCATTTTAATTAGATCTTTTGAAAAGCAGCTGTTCATTTCTTTTGCGTGTTTCTTCATACAGTTGTTTAGCCATCATTGAATTTCTGAAACTCTTTATAAATCCTGGATATTAGTCCACTATCAATTGTGCAGTGTGTAAAGATGTTCTCCCTTCTGTTGGTTGCTTTTCGTTTTGTTGATCAGTTTCTTTGCTGTACAGAAGCTGCTTAATTTGATGTAGTCCCATTTGTTCATTTTAGCTTTGACTGCCTGGACTTTGGGTGACTTTTCTAAGAAGTTTTACCAATGCCTATATCTCGTGGTGCTTTGTTTTCCTCTAAGAGTTTGATGGTTTCTGAGTGCAGATTTAGGTTCTTGCTCCATTTCAGCTGATATTTTGCATAAGGTTAAAAATGGGGAGACTTGTTTCTTACCTCTGCAAGCTGCTATTCAATTGTCCCAACAGTGTGTGTTGACCAATTTCTTTTTTCTTTGGCTTGTTTTCTGTTTTCTGGTCAAAGATTAGTTGGTTGTACATGTGTGGGCTCCCTTCTGGGGTTTCTATTTTCTGTTTCATTGACTTTCTGTTTCAATACCAGTCCCATTATGCTTTGAAGAGAGAGAAATGTGAAAGCCCTATATGGAGCCTGGAAGAAGCATAGAAAGCTCGATAAAACAAATAAACTGAAAAATAGTAAATTTGGGAAGTCTGCTCTAGCTATTTCTGTTTATACAGGGCATAGTTAGTTAAAAGTTCAACATTGCCAGAAGACAACTAGTACCTGGAAGGCACCAACTACCCAGCTAGCATGGAATAAAATTTGTAAACTAATTTTAAAATTCTCATTTGAAGTTGTGTCTGCACATCTGCATTGTAAATTGAAAACCAAATATATTAGGGTGCAAAGGTCACAATGAGGCTGATATGCTGAAATGGAAAGTCAGATTTTGGACAATGTTACAGTCTCAGAAATTTCATGGTAGCAATTGTAAGCTCTTCCTCTAGCATTGTTCTTGTCATTTTCCAGGAAACTGTGTTTTATTAACTGGGTGGGTGGTGGAATATGATGACTTAAACTAGTTTAGTTTCCAGGAACTACTTTCTTTTGTAAAGTGTATAACTATGAACATTTCTTTTATAAATAACATTCCACATTGAAATTGAATGTTTATCTAAAGACATTGCATTACTAGACAGTGAATAAGCAGACAGAAAAATCTTAAAACATCAGGAGCCACAGGAAGGCAGACAGTGGATATTTAACTTCCACATATTCGCTTTCCACAAAGCACAATGCAACACTTTTATGGGTATTTAAGGAAATGAATCATTTGTTGCCAAGAGATTTATCATATAATTGGCTTAAATAAAAGTACATAAAGTTCAGAAAAAAGTTATATAGAGTAGCAGAGGAAAAAGTTGATATTTGAAAGATTCTGAACAGGAAATAGCTCAAAGTTATTTAGATTATTTATTAAGATTAGACTTAGCAGATTTTATGAGCTTTATTTTATCTTCATAATGTTCCATTATTGCAATCTTAACCCCTGGTACCTCAGAATGTTACTATAATTGAGCAGAGATCATTTAAAGAGATATTTTCTTGAAAATACTTAATCTGAGTTGATCACAATTCAATATGACAGGCATACACTTTATTTTTTTAAAGAAAAAATTATTTATTTTATTTAAACTTAGATTTACAGAGAAAGTGGGAGAGACAGAAAGAGATCTTCCATACATTTGTTCACACTCCAAATGGCTGCAAGCACCAGAGCTGGGCCACTCCAAAACCAGGATCTAGGACTTCTGCTACGTCCCCTTTGTGGATGTAGTGGGCCCAGGGCCTTTGGCTGACTCTGATGCCTTCCCAGGCCATTATCAGGGAGCCAAATAGGAAGCGGAGCAGCAGGCAGAGGATCAACTTGCTATGCTACCACACCAGCCCAACTGACGTCCTCTTGAGGAGACACTGAAAATAGACACACAGAGAAAAAAGCATGTGAAGACATCAGAATAGGGATAGCTATGTACAAGCCAAAGAAAAGGTCTTGAGAAAAATTAAGCCTGCCATCACCTGGACCTTGGATTGCCAACCCCTAGAACATTAAACATCTCTTTCCCGCTTACAGTGGCAGCTCAGTACAAATGTGTGAAATGGAATTGAATTGAATGGCATTTTCCTGTGCTGAGATTATCTGCTCGCACTTGAGTTTTTAACCCTAGAGCAACTCTGAACATTTCTTTGTGTGTCTCAGCATGTGTGTAAGGACTGAAATGTCTCTTCTTTTCTTCTTTTAATTGTTGTTATTTCCAGTGATGCAGTTTTGTAGGTATAGGGATTCCTTCCTGTCCATTCTTCCCTCCCACCATTTTCTCCCATGTTACTGTAGTAGTGTAGTCCTTTGGAAACAGTTACAAATTTCACATTCTGCTCTTTAAGTGTACCATGGCATTGTAGGTTGGGATACTTACCTGTGGCTAAATCATGCCATTTTAGACCATTTGCTAATTCAGTTTTAACACCAGGGATAAATGTCTTCAGATTACGTACTGGCATGTTACTCTGTCCTATATTTATTTCAAATATAGTATTTGAGTGTCTTCAGTGCCATACAGTTCCTTGTGGTTGATATACGCTTGCTTTTCTGAGATTTGAATACCAGGCTTAATCCTTGTATAATTTCTCTAGAAGGAAGTTACAGAATGCTATGAATATTTCTTTTCATTTTTAAAAGGTGTATTTATTTTTATTAGAAAGATAAACAGAGAGAAGGCAATATGGGAGAAGCTTCTGTCTGTTGATTCACTCCACAAGTGGCAGTAATGGCTGGAGCTGAGCCAATTCGAAGCCAGGAGCTAGGAGTTTCTTCCAGGTCTTCCACATGGGTGCAGGATC